GGTGACACTGAGTGTGGCAACGCTGCATGGAAATGGGGGTGCTGGTCTGGGAGCCCTGCCTGATGGGGGACAGGGAGCAGGTGGGTGAGCCCCATGGGCAGCTCCTAGCACACAGGGGGGCACAGGGTGGATGGGACCCCATGACTCCCAGCCCTGGAAAGAGCTTGGCGCCTCCCAGGGCATCCCTACCTCTAACACTCTGGGAAATGCACATGCAGAGTTTAATTAACTTTATTGATATTCAGAAATTAGGGGACTGACTAGAGGTAATTGCTCATTAGAAATCATTAAACTGACACCGTAAGCACGAGCCTCCCTCAGGGGAAGCCTGCCCTGCCCAGGGCCCTGCTCCCAGGACAGAGCCAGGGACACAGACTCCCCTCCAGCCTCACTGTCCCCTGACAGGGCAGGAGATGGGGGTGCCATGGCCTTACCCCACTTGCTGCCCTGTGGAGGGTCCCCCAAACACCCCCCCCAAGCAAGAAGGCTGTGGTAGCAGCCCCGGCTGGCAGAGCGAGATGGGAATAGCAGCGGGCACAGGGCCATGACGCCCTTCCCCGGCTGGGCTCAGCTGCCAGATGGGGATTTTATGTAACTCCCTACATGGCTGCTGCCTGCAGCTCAGCCGAGCTGTGTGGGCAGCCTGCATCCACTGCCTGCATCCCGCCAGGGCCAGCAGGGCCAGACCCATGCCTGCTCCTCACCCTGTGCATACTGCCCACCATTGGCATGGCCAAGGTGGACCAGGGCACCCCAAGACCCAGTGGGTTCCTCCTAAGCCTCGGCAGGTCCCTAATTCTGTTTTTTTGGGGCAGCAGAGCCACAAGGTGTCGAGGCAGCCTGTGCCCCACGGGTGGCAGAACCAAGGAGCTGAGCTGGGTGTTGGCTGCTCTCCTTGGGAAGGACCAACACCCACCATCCCCGTGTCTCCCCGATGCCCTCCCCAGAGCCGGAGGGGCCACCCCAACGGGGGCAGGGAGAAGAGCCCCAGACCCAAACACCCACAAGCCCCACAGTGGGGACCGCACAGAGGGGCTGGCTCTCAGCGCGCTGTCGGGCATAGCCAGCGGCTCGAAGGGCTCGGCAGCCGAGGG